TAGTGAGGATAGTCGAACGTAATGACAGATCACAACCATAATTTGGAGCTAAAGATTGTATTTTATCTTTCTTTCTGAATCTTGAAATGGTTTTAATCGCCAATTTCCGAACAATTATATGCAGAAGGAAATCGAACTTGTCGCTCGTATATTTCGTGTCGTATAAGGCTTTCTGTTAGTAATGTCTCAAAAACATACTCTCCTTTTAGGGAATTTCATCAAGAACAGAGTTTTGATAACTCAATCTTTAGTTATTTAGAATTAAGCTAATTGTGATATCCATATCATGTGTTTTGTAGACTGTATGAAGCCAGAAGATGTTGGGCTCAGTAAAGACCTTCAATTCTTCAAACCTAAGCCTGAAGTTGAAGGGACTACACCAAGAGTCACCTCAGCCACCATACACAAATGTCAAAACTTTGAGGTATAATTTTTCATTCCAATCTATTATTTTTTTTCGCATCATTCGAAATACACGGGCATTGTGCTAAATTGTAATTCAAATTAGATGCATTAACTAATCTTTTGGATGTCCTTTTTTTTTTTTTGTTCCTTGCAGTTGTGCATTTTCTTTATTCCTGCAAAAGGCGTCATACCTCTTCACAACCACCCGGAAATGACCGTTTTTAGCAAGCTTCTCTTAGGGACAATGCACATAAAGGCATATGATTGGGTTTTTGATACTCCCAATAAATTCGATGATCGATCGACCATTCCATCCAAATGTAAGCATATGCTTTCTACATTCTTCCTAACCATCATATATAAAATCGAGATAAATATGGATTATTTAGTGATTAATTTATTTAAAACACGGATGGAAATTTTTTTAGTGAGACTGGCGAAGCTAAAGGCCAACAAGACATTCACGGCCCCATGTGATACTTCGGTTTTGTATCCGACTTCGGGAGGAAATATTCACGAATTTAGAGCATTAACGCCTTGTGCAGTGTTGGATGTGATCGGACCTCCTTATTCCAAAGAAGATGGTCGTGATGGTTCGTTTTATAAAGAGGCTACATATGATACTTTATCGGGTATGATACTTTTTTTTTCTTCATGATCATTTATTGGATTGTTCTAACTACATTTCTGGGTTTTATTTTTAGATGTTGAAGAATGTACGAAGAAGGTTGAGGTTGTTGGAGGCTGTTATAGATGGCTCGAGGAAATTGAGATCCCGAAAGAATCGAAGATGGATGGCATTGTTTATATGGGTCCACAAATAACTAACTCTTCTTCTTATTAGCTGCTTCAAGATAGTCTCTTGTTCTCAGTATAATCTTCTTTTGTTATAGATGTCCCTTTTGTGGAATGAAAATTTCATCGGTTACATATTGAACAATCTTTAGTATTTTCAAAGGCCTCATTTGTTTAAAAGGATAAAATTGAATTAAATTAATTTGTGATGGGTGATTAATTAAATTAATAAGATAAGCAATAACTTCTCATGCATTTGTTTATCTTGATAAAGAATGGGATAGAAATGTAAATATACTATTTTACCCTCACCTCCTTTATTTGACTTTTTTTTAGTACACGGTGAATTATCACCTTCGCACTGACCTCGGATAACCAAGATTGGATTCCTCTCCCAGTCCTTTCTCCCCAGACAATCCATCTAAAATTAGTCTTGTGTTGGTTTTGACAAAATAAAAAGAAAAATATAAAGTTAAAGAAAAAGGAAACAAGGACTGTGAAAGTGTACATACCGTATATTGTGTGTATTTAATATTTATGTACTATGTTGTGTTTGGAAAGAGAGAGAATTTTTTTTTTTTGAAGGAATTGTGTGCAGAGTGCGCGCAGGTATTGGCAGGAAAGGAAGGAAATGAGAGATAGCAAATAGGATAAACTGCTACAAAGCTGAGAGAGAAAAAGAAATGAGAGAAGAAATAACAAATTATAACATTTCACTTTCAATAAAAGAGGTGATAAAAATAATCTGCTAATTTCTCCATGGATAGTATTATCCTACATATCTATGATTAAACTGATATAGTCATGTGACCGATAGGTCATTGGTTCGAGTCACTGATGAGGAGAAGACAGAACACCATTGATCCTCATTTAAAAAGAAAAAGAGAAAAGAAACTGATATAGTCCTAGGTTGGAGGATTTGTGCAAGTTGCAATCATACGGCCAAACGTAGGATAAGTGAAGGATTGAGAGTGTTATTCCACCTAATTCTATTAAACGATAAACCTTAAAAGTAGGGAATGGTGTTATACTTTTGATAGCCCTAAAATAGGGCTCTACTCGAATTGAGCGGCCCGCAAGATGCTTAGACTCAGAGCATCTCGAATTCAAACCCAACTTGACTACTATATGAGTTGTCCCGTCCTGAGTATAGTTGTATCTATGTAAACATTCTTAATTCTAGCAAAATTGAGAGATGATTTTTATTTGTATGTCTTTTATATTACAAATTCAATTCGAACTCGAGTGAAATTCAAACTAATGCATTTTGAGTCAATTTCGAATACTTATATATTTTTTGTTGAGTTGAACAAAGTCTTAAAAAGCTCAAGCTTAAGCATCAATGAGAAAAATCGAGTTTTGCTCAGTAAAGTCATTTTGCTTGGTTCGTTTGCAGCCTATTAATAAACAAAAGCTTTATAAGTTAAATATTAATCAAGCCGTGAAAAAAGTTGTAGGAAAATTCCAACTCCTTTCAAAGTTACGATTTCAATCCCTCTTTAGTTTTCAATGTAGCGTTCCCTACTCTCTGTGTTATTTGTGTTACTTTTGTCCAGTTGCATTATGCGTTTCATATTCCTCCCTAAATCTATCTAGAGTTTTCTGAACTTATATGTACATTTTAGCGGTTCGTAATTCTATGAGTCTGATTTTTTATGTTTCATAATTATATATGTTATCTCATGCTTTTAAGTAGTCCATGCAGATCTGGACTTATATCCTTGTCTATTAAAAGTTTTAAAATAATAAAATAATTGATTAACTTAAAATATAAATATATTTCAGAACATTAATCAATTTTGCATTTATTATTATATTTTCATATGATATATTAAATTAATCATCTCCTCACAAGCTTCGATTATATATACCTCCAATAATATAAAAATAATAAAATTATTAATTATTAAATATATTTATCTGCCAAGTCCGTTACATCATACAAAATAGAAAAATTATTATAATATAGGGAGTAAGTCGTACAAGTATCGTGTATTATTTCAAGTGTAAAAAATAATATAATTTTCGTAAAAACTATTTGAAACTTATAACAAAACTTCTGTCTCCTTCTCTTTCAATTTAGGTATAAATTTTTTATTAGAACTTGTGTAACATATGGATGTTGTACTCAACTAGGCTCTAGCTAGATAATAACAGTGAATCATTGATTTTAGACCCGGACCGATCCATCGGGTCGACCCGGGGCCGGGATCGGTCCGGGTTGTTTGCTTGGACCGGGTAGCAAGGGACCCGGTGAAACCCGGTTGACCCGAGTATTGACTCGGCTAGGTCAACTCAGTTTGACCTGACCATTAATTTTTTTTTTTACTTTTTTATTTACATATATATATACTATGAAATATTGATAATAAAATACAATATTATTAAGACATAGTATAAAATTTAGATATAAATAATTTATTTCATTATTTTATTTATTATTATAATGTAAAAATACAATAAATATAATATAAAAATACAATAAATATAATATAATTTATTTATAAAAATAATTAATCGGTTGAAAATTGACCCAGTGACCCGACGGTTGGACCTATTACTTGGTGGTCCTGAGTCCAGCCCAGGTCAATGACCGATCCGGATTTTAAAACTATGTTGTGAACTCCTAATCACATAGATAAAAAATCTAGTGGCTTGCAAAAACTCTAGGGTAATTAATGCAGACAAAATTCTCTGCGTTACTGTTTGTCCTATTTTTGTTACGTTTTTTGTGTCTATTTTCTCGTTCTTTTTCCTCCATTTTGAGTCGTTTATGTGGTTTTTATTCGTTTTTATAGTTTATTGTGTGTTTATTTGTATTTTGGTTTTCTATGTGTTTTCTGTATGTTTCTTTCGGTTTTTTTCCTCGTTTATGGTGTGTAGGTCCAAAGCTTCGGGAAGATCGAATTTTGGGCGAAAGTCAGTTGGGCTAGCATAAGTAGATAGAGGAGTTCGTTGGGAACACACAGGAAAAAGCGGAATCAAATTCCGATTCCAAACGAACCCAAACGAGCTCGAGAAGTGAAGTCGTGCACATAAGCTAGCAGCTCGCCCAGGCCTCGCGCCGCGGTAGCACCACGACCCGGACAGACCCTACGCCCAAGACACCGCGCGCGTTACACGCCCCCGCGCCGCGCCCGCGCGGCAACTGCACGCCCCGCGCCGCGGCACTACCCCGCTTCGCGCCGCGCCTACGCCACGAGGCCAACTGGGAAGAACGTCCAGCAAGTCTGCCGCGCCGTGACTGATCCTTCGCGCCGCGAGGCGGCCCTTCTCTGCGCCATGACTGACCCTTCGCGCCGCGAGGCAGCCCTTCTCCGCGCCGTGCTAGGATTTCCACGCCGCGTCACTCGCCTAACTATAAATATGGATCGCGACCAGATTAAGGACAACACCTCTCGGCCGGGGTGAAAACCCTAGGTCCAGAAAAACGCAAAAACCCACTTCTCCTCCTTTTCTTCTTCTTCTTCATTTTTCTTCTTCTTCTTTTCACTTTTATTTTCCATTTTTCTTCTTCTTCTTCTTTTTAGTAATCAAGGATTGAGCTTTGTATTTTTGGATTCAACACTCGAATTTGGGATTGATTGTAAGTCTTTCTCTTTTGACCAATTCATGAAAATGATTGTTTTGAGGAGAATGATTAATTGTGTTGAATTGATTTTACGTAGCTAATTCTTTTGCTAGGGATAGGGGATGATTGTTCTTGATTAATTTGCATTTGTCGGGCTTAAATTGTTCATGCTTATGTGAGTTGATACTATTCAGATTTGATGAATTCTTGCTTGATAGTTTGATATAATCGAAGGGTGACACTTCGATCTTGTGATTGGAAACAATTGAATATTGATTGTCGAGTTAGGTTTTGTCAATTCCCATGATTAGTTGATTAAACACCTTCTAATTGAATTAGCGACTTTTAGAACCGAAAGGGGAGAAGTCGTAGACCTAGACGCGTATGAGATAGATGATTTCGTAACTGAGTCTATAGGTTTTGGATTGAAATACGTACTTGTTGATAACCCGTCTCTTGTTACGAAAAGTTATTGAGACTGGGATAATTGACATGTGTTGTATGCTCGAGCTAGCTCGTCTATGTTCAATCCCTTGTTACGAAGAGTTATTGGGAGCGAACCGCTAGATGTTTAAGCGAGAGTGTCAATCTAGAACTGAACAATTGAATGCCCGGTTTTGCTAAGAACTTGAATAAATTATCCCCGATTCCCTAGCTTCTCCATCTTGTTTCGTTTACATTTTTAGGTAGATTATTGCTTTTTTAAATTTCTTGGTTAGTAATTATTCAAACCCCCTATCTGATTAGAGTGTTTAGGATTTATTTTCTTTTTCTGTGTGATCGATACCAAAGCTAAATTCCGAACCGCCTTCCTCGTGAGATCGACTCGAGGTCGGGAGTCATCCCGTACTCGGTAAAAATATAATTTGCTACAACAGTTACTTTGTGCATGCTTGGATATAAGTTTTTTTAGAAAAAAATTCAATCACAACTCAATTTCAATTCTCCTCATTTTATCAATATAATTAAATAATATCAATCAACCATCCTCACACATCACATCAACTTTAATTCACTTACATAATTTTAACAATTCATCACTTTCAATCATTTCTATTTTATTTTTATATCAAATCAACTTTATAATACAAACTCAATACTCTTAAAATATTTTTTATTAATTTAAATATAGTAAAATATTGTGTTGTCACACATCAAAAATAAAAGTTGTCCATCTGTCATTGTGTGATTGCATTTGTCATTCATTTCAACTTGCATTGTATGCCCACACCGTATCAAAAATATGTATTGATGTGTTTTACTTTCAATGGTGCGCCCATATTTCCCACTCATTGATGAGTTGGTGTATCTATTTACTTGCATAATATTAACTAGCAATACGAAATGTCTGTAAATTAAGTTCTTTGTTGTGCTGTTATGCATTACACCTTCATTAAAAAAAATCATAGACCTTTGTCTTATATTTCTCTGAAGTTGCAATGAATAACAATTCATACAAATCCAACCCAAATATGCCGAACTCATCGGAGGATGGCAGTCCGTCTTCCGTAATTCACGTTATACACGAAAGATGCAATTTACTCAATTTCTTAGAATGCAACTACAACCTTTATTTCAAAAATTTCCTTTTCAAGTACCCGCACGAATGTCTTCTTATCCAATTTCACAGACCTCAGAGCAGCCTTCTTTTCCCAAATCACCAAATTTAATGAACATGAATCAATCTCAATATATATGGGCAATATCGCCTCAATGTGGCATTCCGAATACATTTGGGATGCCTTATGACAGGAAATTTCATGCCGACTGAATTCTTTAGTAGCCCTATTGAAGTCCTAAGACCTTGCACGATCCCAGAGGTTGAAGGACTTGACAACATTGCCTTATTACGGAGTCAGAAAAATAAAAGAGGTTGACCTAAAAGACGCGGTAAAGAAACAACAATGTCGTGCACACATCGGGAGGATGTTTTACTATGTCGAGCTTTTTGTACCATCTCAAGTGATCCGATCATTGGCGCTCAACAAACGTTCGAGGGTTTTTGGAGGCGAATTATACAGTACTATATTGAAGCTGGCCAAGCACGAACCTTCATTCAGAGAACTATGAAGCCAGCA